TTTAAGATATAAATTAATAATTTTCCCCTCCAAGAACTCATATGTCAAATTTGATTATCATATAAATCTCATGTTTTAAATTGTTTTTAATTTTCTAAATTATACAAATAAAAACCTTTTATTATTTTATTAATTTAAAGGGTACATTTGTCTTTTTAAAATATCAAAAAGCCACACCCCTAAAATTGGGGTCCCTTTTGTTGTTTATTCAACATTTTCACTTTTGAGTTTGCGTTTGGTCAAAAGAAGGAATCTTTTCATGGTGACAACAAACCTTTCATATATTTTGGTTAATGTTTCCAAAATTCAAATAATTGTGAAGCATTGTCTCTTAAATTCATGAATATTTTATTTGATCTATGGGTATTTTAGTAATTTCCTTAAAATACATTAATGAAATTAAATGTCATGATAAATAAATGGTGTTTGATGGATACCGACAAAGATGCACATGGGATACTCCTTGGTCCGATCCTAGTAGGCATGCTTTTCATACTTTTTAAGAAGCCGTTTACTTAAATGCTTATTCAGTAAGCGCTTATCAGTTGGAGTCAACACTATAATTTATTTTATCGGATAAGATTGTAGTACATCAAAAAGTTATCCTACGCAACAATTACCCGGTAAGTGATTACCCGGATAAGAGTCGTCACTCTCACTTAACGGGTGAGACTCTCCATCCTTATCATCGCTCTTACCGGGTAAGATTTTTGGTTCTTGTCATGTTCATCCGGTTAGGAAAATTGCCCAGTAAACACTTACCATGTAAGCGTTTAATAAACGGTCCCTAAGTTCTTAAAGCTTAGAACATGTTTTAAGTCGGAAAATTAGGTATAATATGGGTCTTCTAGGTTTAACCGGATCTGTTTGGGCCTAATTGTTTTATTATATATATATATATATATATATGTGTGTGTGTGTGTGTGTGTGTGTGTATATGAGAGTGAGAGTGAGTGTGAGAGAGAAGGAGAGACCTAGTAGTGATATTACCTGTTCCATCTGCAGATCCCAACCTGATTTTAACATTTTAGGTGAATCTCGATTGTCAGTGAACAAATAAAGTATTACGTATATATAAAGTGAGAACTCCTCCAACTAACATGACGTGTTCTTAAACCGTGAGTCAGGGTTGCAACTTGCAAACAAAACAGACAATATCATTATGTTGGTTTTGATGTCATAATAAATTTGGACTAAAAACCAGACATTTGATTGGGCATTGCCTAAGCTTGAACTGGACCTTGGTTAAACCGGTCTTTAACCGAGCTTCTAACTTAATCCTTAACTGATATAGGATAGGAAGCTTAAACCCAACCCTTAATTAGGTCGAAGGGACCAGTTGTTTTGTAAGCGCTCATGCTTTGGTCCTTTCATCAGTCCTGAGACACATTGCATCTTTAGATCTGACGATGGCGATATTTTTGTATATCAAATGTTGTCGGATCTTACAACCTAATAATTGTTTCCATATATATTTAGATTTTATATTTTTCCTATTTTTAAATCCTAAGTTACTAAAAATACAGAAAACAACATTTTTTTTTTCAAAAAACAAAAAAAAAAAACAATTAGTTAATAAATTGATCCTTTTTCCTATACTTATAAAATTATATGTAGTTAGGTTCCAAACTGTTTTCTTTAATACCAATTTTTTTATCATTAAAACTGGAATACTTAGGGGCCGTTTATCAAACACTTATTCGGTAAGTGCTTACCGGTAAAATTTAACAATATTATTTACTTACAAAGTAAGATTTTAGTCCACCAAAACGATATCGTATGCTATAATTTACCCGGTAATCGGCCTCACTTACCGGGTAAAACTCTTGGTCTTTATCTCGTTCTTACCGGGTTAGATTTTTGGTCTTTATCATATTCATGAGGTGAGGTAATGTTACGTTGTAAGTCTTACCCAGGTAAACGTTTGGTAAACGGCCTCTTAGGGGGTGTTTGGGATTGCTTATTCGAAACAACTTATGTTTTTCTACAAAAGTTTACCCATTATAACATTGTTTTTATAAACAATCCCAAACACCCTATAAATCGAATAAATTTTAGAGCTTTGTATTAATTAACTGTGTTTTGTGTCTTATTATTCGATGATATCAATATGGAATTAATAAAAGTTAGCTGAAGGACCCGTGCTTGTAAACTGGGCAATGACTATGCTACACACATCAATTTTTATTATTTTTTATAGAGCAAAATGCATAAAATAGCAATTTACTTTCATAAATTTATTTATTATAGCATTGTACTTTTAGTTTTTCTTATTACAACAATGTAGTTTCAAACTATTTTTTATTAGGACATTGTACTTTAAAAAATTTACCCATTATAGCATTGGGTAACCTTTTGATTTAAATTTACCCATCATACCAGATTTCCATGTCAGCTCATTGTCCACGTAGGCTGTCCACATGTACTATATTGATGTGACTTTCTAACTACATCATTATACTTTTAAAATTATTTTATTATAGCATCTACTAGTTCTTATTAAACACTGTATTTTTTATTTTAATATTTAGATACTTTATATTTATTTAATAAATATATTAAAAAAATTAAAAAAATTCTAAACTATTCATCAATATACCAATATCAATAAACTAGTAGAACATAACTTATCTCGCTAATATTTTAAAAAAATATGTGTTTTTTAAAAAAGAAAATAAGATTTGTTCTTTTTTTTTTTACCAAAAAATATTATCTTTTAAAAAATATATTATATTTGTTTAAAAACTTTTTTTTTGACGTATAAATATTAAATTAATTAGATTTTTTTGAATTATTTATTATATTAAAAAATTATAGATCACAATTTATTTCGTTAATATTTTAAAGAACATTTTAAAAGATATGTATTTATTTGAAAACATAAAATAAGAAGTGTTACATTTTTTATAAATAAAATATATCTCGAAAATAATATTTCATATTTATTTAAGAAATATTTTACTTTAGAATATTTAATTTGTATGCAACTTAATAAGAAAAAGTCAAAAAAAATCAAATGTTTTCTTAGATCATAGCAATGAAAAATGAAAATCACTAATAATATGTCATTCACATCAAAATGATTTGTCATCCACATCACCCCATTAAAAAGTCAAAGGGTTAACCAGTTTAAAAGGTAACAAGTTAGCCATTGCTATTATTGGTAAAAAAATTAAAGTACGACGCCTTAATAAAAAATAATTTGAAAGTACATTGCTGTAATAAAGAAAAACAAAAGTAGAATGCTATAATAAGAAAATTTATAAAAGTAGGTTGTTATTTCATGCATTTAACCCTTTTTTACAAGATTTACCAAAATATCCCTAAATCTGTAATTTAATTTATTTTTGCAGACCTGGATAAAAAATGTAAATATTTTTTGCGGACCTGGGTGAGAATGTAATTTTTTACACACCTGGATGAAAATGTAGATTTTTTTTGCGGACAAAGTTAGAAAGTGTAAAACCATTTTGTCGTTTAGTTGGGTCCACAATTGCACACATTGGTTTTTGCAGACCTATGACTATTTTGATAAACTTGAAGAGAAAATAGCTAGTAAATGAAACCAACCCTAAGAAATGGTCATTTTAATAAATTTCCCAATTGTATATGGTCACTGTTTTGTTTCAAATTCATGATTTTCTAATAGTTTTAAGAATTTTTTTATTTTAACTTCAAGGGATTTGGATCCTTAATCATTTTTAATTCCAAAACGACCAATGAATTGTACTTTAGAAGAAAATTGATCCAGTGTATTTCATTAGTGTTGATCTAATGGTTCTCTTCAATTAAGACTGATTTAATGGTGAAGATTTCTTCCTTATCTTTCTCACTGTAACTTTCATTCTTATTAGAACTCAACCATTTATCTTTTTAACATATTCTAAAGCATCTCCAACAAGTTGGCTATATTTTTAGATAATGTATTTATAATTAAAATTTCTAAAAAAAAATTACATCAAACTTCAACAACTACTATATTTTAACAATTTCAATATTATTATATTATTAAAATATTTTACAAATTCACCATCCTAATATCTATACTATAAAACTCTATGCATAAAATATTGTTTATTGATGTATATTACTTAATTCAAAATTACAAGTAGATTGTGCTAAGTATAACTTATTAAAACTCTATGTATGAATTTGTGTAACTAACTGCAGATAAACATAACCAAATACGGGTTAAGCATCTCATTTTAAATATAAAAAACTAAAATATAACTAGGATAATCATTGACTTCTAACAGAATATTTATTATTATCTTTATAAAAAAGTATATTATTAAACAAAAAATAAATTACTTTTTCAATTAAACTTAAATTAAATTAAAAAAATTACAAAAAATAAACTTTCAAATTGTTAATTTGATACTAATATCGATATATATATATATATATATATATTTTCAAATTCTTATGATATATTTAAGTTTATATTTTATTCAAAAATAAAAAAATTATCGTTTTCTCAAAACCACATAAAATCATATGATAACATCGATAGAAAAAAACTTCTGTTGGATTCTCCAAAGTAAGAAGTTATTGGAGATTAATATTTTTAATTATTATTTTTTTATTCCAAAGAAATTAAAAAAAAATCTTTATCACAAGGGTGATATCTGATTGGTTTGAGTTTGACTTCAAAGGTCAAAAGTAGCAGGAGTTCTCAGGTTCAAATTCAAGGAGAAATAAAAATTCTCTTATGGCTACAGAGGTTCAAATATAGTGATTTCAAACTATCTGCAAAACAGGTGGTCATTTTAAAATTAATTGATTCGATAACGAGATGAATATCCAGGTTAATAATAATAATAAAAAATCTTTGAAAAACTAATATTTACCGTTGCGCTTTTAATGATTTGAGTTGAGAAATTTGAGGCTCAAATCCACATGTACTGTCAAGTGGCCCCCACCTGCGTCCTTCATGATTATATTCAATATTTCTTTTTCTCTGTAAATGCCCCCACGAAGTCCTCCTTTGTTATGACAACCCGCGAATACCTCCTCCCTTTCCTTGGCCGTCCGATCCATAACCACCCCCTTTCACTCTTTCTCTCTCTCTCGTTTTCAACCCAATTTCACAAAACCCAATTCTTCTTCGATCTCTCGATTCTGGAGAAGAAGAGCAACATCAAGCAAAAGGTCAAATCTTTTTCTTGATTAAAGTTTGAATTGCTTCACTTCATCTTACAAGCTTTTGTATCGTCCCCACCGACACAGTTACTTTCATCTTGAATAACCCACTAGTGTCTATGCATTTCAACGGATGCCACACATACTGTTTGATAAATTGCCCCAGTGAATTATTTGTTAAAATCTTGGAAGCTATGTGAGCTGTTGTATCTATCTATCTATCTATCTGTTTTATGTTTGTTCTTTGTATGGTGTGTGTTAAGTTTAAGCTATGCTGAAGTTCTTGTTTGGTCTTAGGTTTTTTTTTTTGGTAGTTTTGAAAGATAAACTTGAAGATACAAAAGGGGAAAATCCCCAGTTTCTTCTTAAATTGTTGAAGCATCAACTGTTTATGGGTCTCTATATCTCTTTTGATGGGTTGTCAGCCTTTCTCTAAATGATGGATATACGCCTTGTTGCTCATAAGTTTAAGAAAGAATAACCAAAGTTCTCCATTTATGTGTTATTTGTTAACAAATTAGAACTGCTGAAGGAACACTTTTTGTATGTATTTCTTGGCTTTTAAAGATAGAACCACAACTTGAATCTGGATCCAGTGTAAATGTGCAATTCTATGAGATATCAATTAACTACTATCAGAAAAGGGTAGGCAAAAAAGAAAAAGGGTCATTTTAAATTAAATTAAATTAAAGGATGATAATCATGAGACAATGTGCTTAATTCCCTTTTCCCCTTGTCCCTCTTTCATTTTCTACCCTTTCCTCCAATGTCTCCATCAGCAAATTAATGCTTAAACACTTTTTAATTGTCATTCAGCCTTCACCTTCATCATCAGGGAATTTTGTTGATGGGGTTCTTGTGATACTTTGGACTTTTATCACACCTTATCTTCATCACTCAATGTAATGATCTTGAAGGACCATATATATCTTCTTTTCAGTTTCTCCTTGTCATTTTCCATAGACTCCAGGTTGTCTGTATGCTGCAGGTACGCAAATAGGGGATCTAGAATGCCCAATGGGTTCAACTTGGTGAAGCTACTTTGCTTGTACACTTGTACCTAATTTGTCTATATTAAGGACCTAATAATTTTGTGTGGGGGATCAGAGTGGTGTTAACTCTAGTGTTTGGAGATTTCAAGCTAAAAATGCCATTTTTGGTCGAGGTGAAGATAAAAGCATGCTTAGAAAATTAATTTATAATCTTGTTTGGGACCATGGTATTAATCATACTACACGTCCATTCCGGGACGATCACAAACTAAAACATTTTATTCACGAGTCTTTTAACATGAGTCACACAACGGCTAGACTTGGACCAACTTTTCTCAATATATGTTGAAACCTCCCTTTTCTCCCCAAGAGCTCTCCAAGAGAGTAATCTAACAAGGTTTCACATATTCTCACATGATAGCCAAGGTCTACCAATCACTCTAGGGACTTGATACTTTAGGGTAACCTGTACTCATCTAGCTCCCTCACCTGGCTAGCCCCCTTTTGACACTCTGGGACAATCTAGCCTCCGTTGGAGGGGGCGTGTTAGAGTACCATATTGGCTAGACTTGAACCATTTCTTCTTAATATATGTTGGAACCTCCATCTCTCTTCAAGAGCTCTTTTGGAGAGTAATTTAATGGGGTTCCACATATTCTCACATGGAATTTATCCATGCTTTTCATTTCGAGAACATGTTTGCGAAAAATGTGATGAAAGGTATTTGCAAAACATTAGCGCAGCAGGCATTTCATATAAACATTCCTATGAGGGTATGACTAATTATATGTTGCAACTAACGAATTTGAATGTTGCAATGTGCAACTGGATCATTAATCCAGTGTGAGAAGGAAAAAAGATGATTGAAATTGGTGTTTTCCTCTACAAAAGGGAAACTTTTCTTTTCGCTTGCCGTGCTTATCTTTCTTCATTTGAAGTCAACATATGTAGTTAGAGCTTTGGATGGTTGTAGATTGCATTTAATATGGTTCTATGTTCTGATGTTGCATATTGTTTCAGATAATAGGCTCAATATGACCAGATTATATTTATATCATTCCAATTTGAACTTATGGAGGGCATCTTTGATGGCTCTCTCTTGTCATTCAAACCATCGAGGAGATGTCTGTTTGCCTGTAGCGTTGACGATTCCATATTTTAACTATTTTGCAATTTTTTGTTAACCCAGATCACTGCCTTCATTGCAAGCAATATGAATACAGAAGTGGTGAGCTTACATCAAATTCCAATAGAACTGCCATCTTTCTGATGCTGATGTTCATTCTGAAGTTGTAAAGAATCTAGCAGATATGGCAGCATCAGCTTCAAACCATGGCCAAAAACGACGTGACGGAAACAAAAGGAAGGAGATAGAAGAGATAGTTCGACACATGTCAAATTTGCCAAGTTATCTTGAGAGGGGAAAACCCATCCAAGATCGAGCATTGAATTTTGGTGTTATGGATTGGGGGCGCTTAGAGAAATGGCAATATCATCATCAAAAACAGGGCCTTTTCAGAAGTAACAAATGTTCGCCATCTAGCAGCAACTCATCTTTGTTATTTTCGACTGATGGATCATCTCCCCATTCTACTAGAGGTCAAAGCTCTTCACCTGCTTCTTTGAAACCTCATCGTGTTACTCTACAATCTAGTTTAAACATATCTCCAGAAGAAATCTCCAGTCGATTTGTGAAATCAAGTTCAGGAAATCTTGATAAGTCTCAAGATGTTAAAGATGCTCTGCTTAATTACTCCGGTGAGAAGAGGACTACCAACAGATCACGAAACAAGCCAAGAGGTTGCAACATGGATGATTCGTATCCTCGAAATCGTCATGAATCTAAATCATCGGATGATCTGGGAAGTTTTCATACTGCATCATCATCACCTTCTTCAAAGGGCAAGAAGAAAATCCAAGATGAGCTGGTAAATGAACTGGGGAATCTTCAAGATCCATCGTATGGAACCTGTGATGGTGCTATGCACAAAACTGTAGTCCTTTTGCCTAGAGATGCCCCCAGAAAGAGTCGAACAAATGGTGAAATGTCTAAAAACATTCATTCAGACCCGAATAACGGCATTCCAAGATCATTTCCATCTGAAACTGAAGCTATAAACAGAAAAAAGTCACAGAATGAAGCCATTTCTGAAAGAAATTCTACAGAAGAGAGAGAGTCTAGTTTCTCTTCAAATAATTCAAATTTTAAAACAGATACCATTGCAGCTAGCAAACAAAGAAGTATATCTCCACTTCGCCGCTTTAATTTTAGCATGAGCTCGAAGTCTGCAGCTCTTACATCTGCTAACACAATTCTGGAGTCTCCTCCAGCTTCTCGGACTCATTCAAGCCCTTTAAGAAGGTTGTTGGACCCACTCTTCCCATCAAAGTCCCCTGAAGATTCAACAATAAAAGCGAAAGTGAAGTTAGATTTGAGAAGTTGCAAGGAAGTCAGAGTTGATGATTCACATATGACTAAGATGAATGAATCATCATCAACAAAACAAGCCCTTTTTCAGATAGCTGTTAAGAATGGTCGTCCTTTTTTTACGTTTGCAGTTGATAATAACATCAACATACTTGCAGCCACAGTAAGAAGTTTGAGTGGGAAAGATGACAGCAATGGTTGGATCTATACATTCTTCACCATCCATGAGGTGAAGAAAAAGAAGAGTGGTTGGTTATCTCAGGGCACCAAAGGCACGGCCCAAGGGTATCATCCTAACATAACAGCTCAAATGAAGGTTTCAAATCCTTCAATTTCTAGTCGGGAGTTTGTTTTATCCTCCGTGGACCCAAATCGGTTGGACCACCAAGTCTTGGATGGCCAGCCACAAGATGAGCTGGCAGCCATTGTTGTGCGATTTCTAAGAGAGGCGGACGATGAAGAGGATCAAGATTGTTTTAGCACAACGGTTATTCTACCTGGTGGCCATCATAGTGTACCAAGCAAAGGAGAACCTTCACCGCTAATTGACCGGTGGCGGTCTGGCGGTGTATGCGATTGTGGAGGTTGGGATATGGGCTGCAGATTAAGAACCCTTGCTAACAAGGTGCAATCTACTAGATCAAAGTCACCTGAAGCTCATATGACCTCTAACAAATTTGAGCTTTTCTTTCAGGTATATTCTAATTCCAAGATTCATCTGTTGTGGCCATTAGAGGTCTTCATGGCAATAACCACCCTATTTTTTGCACTAGAAGTCCGGTCTACGTATATATTACCTTCCTCAGATCCCACTACTAATAACATTTCAATGACATAGATGTCAAGCTTTTCGTCCACTTTGCCATAACCCTCTCGTAAACGGTATCCAAGTCATCAAATGTTACAAGATTAGCAGGTTATCGATCAAAATGAGTACAAGATGGGAAAATTTGAAATTTCGGAAAAAAAGTATTCATAACACTAAATAGAAACCAACTTTTTTTTTTGTAAAATCTAGTAAAGGGGACTTGTTTTAGCTTCTATGCTTTTATAGTTTTAGATGCTAATGTTCTTCCTTTTGACCACAGGGAGAGGTTCCAAATGAGAGACCCTTCTTCAGCCTTTCTCCATTGAAGGAAGGAATATTTTCGGTTGAGTACAATTCATCTCTATCGCTTCTGCACGCATTCTCGATCTGTATATCAGTGATCGAATGCAGAAAATCGTGTCAGCATACGGAGCTTAAAACATACGTTGCCAAACGAGTAGATGACGATGAGGCTCCTGTAACATATGCATCATTTCCACCTCTTTCCCTTGTGGAAAGGGTTTAGACCTCAATGACATGCAATCAGGTCTTTTGACGACCGATTTAGTTAAATAACACAAGGGAAGACCCATACGAAAACTTGCGTCCCTACCCTCGGAAAGCCGAGGAATGTTAGCGGACTGGGTCGATGTGGTTATGATTATGATTATGATTATGATATAGAGTTACTGGGGTATATTCATTGTGAATGAAATGAAATCAGTGGGGAATGTAAGTTAAAGCTTTATGTTGTCTGCTGGTTGTTCCTCTTAGTCTCAGTCCTGGGCCGCTCTTGGGTACTCATCGTGGGCCTTTTTAACCGGTCCTTCCGGGCCTTATAACCTGGTCTAATGGACCAGTCCCTTACCGGGTTCCCAAAAAATTGTAACCGAGTTTGACTGGCCGGGCCTTGGTGCCAACCGGTCCTTATCGGTTGAAAAATTGGATTGTTAGCAAGTGATCAATGTTATTCTTCTGGAGCTAATTTCTTGTTTTTGAAGACGAATCTGTCAAATTCGATCAAGCGAACCATTTTTCGAATTGCTAACATAAACACGTGAACCATTATATTCTTAGGGGCTATTTACTTGCGGCTTAATTAGGCTTATTGGTCTATGTGGCTTATCTGCACAACTCATTTGGGTTGATTACTTACGGCTTATTCCCACAGAACATTGGTTTAATCGCATAGATAGAAACGTTATGTTGTCCCCATTCAGCTACAAAAATGACACCCCTACCCCTTATTTAAAGCATCGCCTCCTTCCCAAATGAGACGCCCCATCGTCAACCTCTTTATGATTTTTTTGTCTTGATGTTCAAATAATTAATATTGGGGGGTAAATTGGTCATTTATGTTATTCAGACTGTTAGTTCAGATAAAAAAAAGTAAACAACAACGCCCATTTATCCAGACAGACAAATTTATCTATACAGTACTCAATAAAAAATTTGGTAAACAATTCAAATTAGTATTTTTGAGATACTTTTTTCGTTTGGGAGGCAATAGAACTTTATTAGAAACAAAACAAATACAAGGACGATTTTGAAAGTTTTTCTGTAAGATGTAAGAAAAGCACGATAGTCCTAAAGGAAAAGACGCCAAAAACACATAACAAAACAAACACTAAACCTAAACGAATGTACTTCGACAATATAGCTTGCCGGCAGATTCCATCCGATTAAGTCACGAGAACACAAACCTCATCAAACATCCATTGAATATTGGAAACTAAGGGGCCGTTTATTAAGCACTTACTTGGTAAGTACTTACCGGATAAATTTCCTCATCGGATGAACATGAGAAGGGTCAAGAATCTTACCGGATTAGAGCGATGAGAATGATGGAGAGTCTTACCCGGTAAGCGAGGATGACGACTCTTCCCCAGGAAAGCGTTTACCCACTAAATTATTGCATTCGATATGTTTTGATATTACTAAAATCTTACGCATCAAAATAAATCATAGTGTTGACTACTATCAATAAACGTTTACGGAATAAGCAATTGAGTAAACGGGTCCTAAAACTTCCATAATGCAAATCCACTGTAATGTGCATGGATCTGACAACAAAGTCAAAAAGAGTCGAACGGGATTAGATCAACTTAAATGGATTTTCTTACTAGCAAAAGGTCAATCTGTATAACGTATTTGATTTTTAAAAATCGTTAAAAGAATTTTAATATGTATTTTATTTTAAGAAAATATAATAAGAGGTTGTTTGACAATTGCTGAATGGTTTGGTAATTGTTTCATTTTGCACTGTAACATAATTAGAGACTCTCATGATATAGTGCAAAATGAAATATAATTATTTGGTAATTATTTAACGCTTAATGGTTAAGGAGACCTATGATACAAAACCATTCAAAAGGTTTTATAACCATTAAAAGACATACTTTTTTTTGTCAAACAAGATTCAGCTCTTAACGATTATGAGATTGTTTCTTAATGGAACTATTGAGAGCTAAACAAACAACCCGTAAATTGAAAAGATTACAATAACAATTATATATTGTAACTGTAATTATTAAAAAATAAAAAACCAATTTCCAAGATTTATATATAAATCTATATAATTTAATGATTATGTTTTTATTTTTATTTTTTTAATTTGGTGAGCTAAGAATGAAAAAAATTAATTGTTTCATTCTTTTAAGAATACTAGAAGGGTACTCGTGTAATGTAGCGAGATAAATCTCGATTTTGATGTTTAGTTTTTATTCTTTGTTTATATCGATATAATACGATTTTATGTGGTTTTGAGAAAACGGTAATGTTTTTATTTTTATATAAAAATATAAATTTGAAGATAACATAAAAATTTGAAAAGAAAATAGATCGATATTAGTATCAAATTAACTATTTAATAGTTCTTGTTTTATTGGTGTAACTTCTTTAATTCAATTTTTACATTATAATTTAATTTAGATTTAATAACAAAGTAATTTATTTTCGGTTTAATAATATAATTTTTTATAAAAATAATAATTAAACATTATGTTAGAACTCAATGTTTCTTAATTATATTTTAGATTTTCTATATTAAAAGTGGATGTTTATCCTGTATTTGATTATGTTTATTTGCAATTAGTTACACGAATTTAAAAAATGAAGATTTAATAAGTTGTACTTATGCAAAATTACTTGTAATCTTGAATTTTAAGTAATGTGCATCAATAAACAGTGTTTCATGCATAAAAAATGATTTTTAAGAGTTTTTGTCAAATGTTTTATAATATAGTATAGATTATTGTTTACGTCTTCGTTAGATTGATTATTTTTATACCTTTCTGTCTTTTTCTATCACAAAAAGAATTATGGATACGAAAGGTGAAAAATCGAATTTACAGGCAGTTTACCATACACTTATTACTTATCGGGTAAACGTTTACCGATATCACTTACCTTATTGAAAATGAAAGTAACCAAAAATCTTACCCAGTAAGAGACAGGACCGAGAGTTTAACCCGATAAGTGAGGAAAAGGACTCTTACACAGTAAAACCTTAAAATCCCGTTATTTTATGCATCTCTTAAAACAGGTATTGGTGTGCATTTTAATGATTACATTAAATTATGCAAATTTATATATTTCAATTACATAAATCTATTATATTTTTATAGGATTAAAAACATTAAAATGTAATAAATTTTGTAATTTATCCTGTTTATTATACACTGAACTTTGTTTCTTACCGACTGACACTAAGGTCGTTTGTGTGGTCGATCGGAGATGTAACATGGTAGTATCTCAATGCATCTTATATGTGTTTGTGTATCACACTGTGTCTTTTGTTTAACAGAGTCAATATTTATCCCAGTGGTATCACTGGAAGACGGGGGATAGAGAGAGAAGAGAGGAGAGGGGAGAGAAAATACCCTAAATTTTTCTTACATTAAAATTTTAATTCAAATTACCAAAATTATAAATTTCCTAATTTATCTATTGATTTGTGGTTGAGATTGGATCTCACGGTTACCACAAACTAGTCAGTTCTCCCTTGAATGATCATATATATAGGGGAACGTTCAAATAAAAACCACCCTCATTTGTAAAAACCGTGAAAACCACATTCATACGTCGATTTCATTGTTTAATCTTATGAAATTTTTTCATGAAATTGTTTAATCTTGTGAAATTGTTTCATATAATACTTTTTTGATGACTTTGTTTCATATATGGTTATGAAATTGTTTCATACAATATTTAATGAAACTGTTTCATGTATTTCTCTAAAATTAAAATAATGAATATGATAATATCCATGATTAACACCATTCACAATAAAAATGGTTAATCAACCTCTCATAATTACAAAAAAGTGAAAAAAATGAAAAATTATGATTGGTTGAATGAGGTTTTCATGGTTTTTACAAATTGAGTGGTTTTTATTTGAACGCTCATCTCTCTCCCTCTCTCTCTCTCTCTCTCT